GTAGGCAACGAAGAGGTGATGGGTTAAGATTTGATCAAAATAGAGAAAGACTGGAGGCAAGGAAAGGGAAAGGGTGATGGGTTAGCTCCCACTGTGATTTAGTGAACAAAATTGAATGTAATTGAATTGCTACCTTAATTATCCATTCCTTTTTCTTTCCTCAAAAAAAAATTCAATGCAAAAACATGTTGTACTTCGTGCAATATAATTTGTTTGACTTAATATTCAACATTTTGGTCTTATCATCCCCTAAATGGTTATCAATGTGTATTTTATATATATATATATATATATATATATATATATATATATATATATATATATATATATATATATATATATATATACACACACACACACAAAACTAATATCAAATAAGAAGGAAAACTTTGGTAGGAAAGTAAAGAAAACTTTTTATATACATATTTTTTTAGCGAACAAACAAAACAAATCATTAGATGATTAAAAAGTAAAATGATTCACAATAAAAATATCTTCAAAAAAACACATTCATAATTCATATTTAAGTAAATAAAAAAAATTATTTTGATGACAATTTTAGTGAATAACAACAAAATCATCATAACAATGAATCACCGGAATGTTTTTATAGGAATTTTCTTTGTGAATCATGTTATTTTTTATTTATCTAGTGATTTATTTGTTTTGTTCTCCAAAAAATTATGTTGAAAAAACGTCTTACATTCCTAAAAAAATATGTTACCTTATATATATATATATATATATATATATATATATATACACACACACACACACACACACACACACACATATATATATATATATATATATATATATATATATATATATATATATATATAGGCTTAGATTATTTTGTTTTTACTAACTATTGTATGCCATAATGCATAGATCTGGACCACCGGATGGAATAGACTCAAAGATCATGATCTGAGGGTCTATGATATTATAATAGGGTAACATATATCATATAATCACACAAATTTCAGTTTATAAGGGCATTTTAGTCAATTATCCTATATTAAAAAAGGAAATTTTCGGATTTTTAGGGATAATTAATTCTTTATTTTTAAAAAACTAAATATTTTAAATTAATTCAAATTTAAAAATCCAATTTTATTCTGTCAAAATGACAACGATAAACTAGTAAATATATTTTCGATTTTATTTTTGCAGAATACATTTCCAATGCATATATTTTTGATAACTAACCTGATTTAAGAATTGTAGATATTATTCATATACATCCAAGTTGGGTCTATGATTTTGTTCTTAATAAAAATATACATATTCTTATGAACTAATGTCTTTCTACATTTTAATATAATTATACATATTCTAACATAATATCATATAAATGAATAAAATTGTTAAAAAATAGCATTCTTGAATATACAATTATTAAACAAATACTCTTGATCTTCTTCAATGGTCCATATAATCCACTTGATCTTCACATATATACTTGTTGAACTTGATTCCAAATATTTCTCTTGTATGATCAATATTGTATTCCTTCTCCGTGTAATTCTGAAAGATTAAGATACATTACTTGTTAGTATTACCAGTTAAACAAATATATTTGTTAACAAACATTCTCAAAAGACATTCTAACATAATGCATTTATAAAAATAAATTCTAACAGAATATATTATATAATGCACTTAAATCGTAGTCTTTTCTTCTAGAGTAAATTACACGAATGGTCCCTATGGTTTGCGGTAATTTACGTGCTTGGTCCCTAACTTATTTTTTTAACTTGGAAGGTCCCTATGGTTTGTTTTTGTTATGCGTTTGGTCCCTACTGTTTAATTTTGTTACGCGTTTGGTCCCTATCTTATCTAAAAAGACTATTATTTAGAGAGGAAAAAATGATGGGGTAGGTGAGGTAAGGTGAGGGGGTGGAATTAGGGGTGTGTTTATTTAAATAAATTAAAAAATCAAGGGAAAAATAGTCTTTTTAGGTAAGATAAGGACCAAGCGCGTAACAAAAACAAACAGTAGGGACCTTCCGAGTTAAAAAAAGAAGTTAGGGACCAAACGCGCAAATTACCCTAAACCATAGGGACCATTCGTGTAATTTACTCTTTCTTCTATATGCATAAAATATAAAATTCTAAAATATGTATAAATTTATTTTGTCAGAATTACTATCAACACATATTTTATGTAATATTTATATTCTCATAAAATGAACATGTGTTTGCATTCTGATATGAAAAAAAAATCCCAAACTTATACTTTTTCATGTAAATTCTGACAGAATGACAATTTAACCCTTTTCATTCATCTGAATAAAGGAGGAAAACATATTTAATTTGACAGAAGCAAAGCATATCTAAGTCTAGTCTAGTATAAAAAATTATCAAATGCAAAAATGCTTGCAAGAATATTTCTTAAGCTAAGTGTATATATATATATATATATATATATATATATATATATATATATATATATATATATATATATATATATATATATATATATATATATATTCCACATTTGAGATTCAATCCCATTAATACTTACATGTAAATTAGATAAAACTTTTTGTTATTAAAATCTAAATTAAAATGTCTCACGCTGAAACTTACAATTTGTCTCGTACAAATTGATTTATTGGAAAATATCTACATCCTTTTTTCAAACCCATAGAAAATAGCCGACATTTGAGATTCAAACCCATGAAAAATAGCCGCATCCTTGAAATATAGCATAGAAACGTCGGTTTTTATAAAATAGAATAAAAAATAGCCGCATCCTTTTTTCTACTTCATACATTGATAGGGTTTATAATCGGTGCCCAAATTTTTTTTTAGGGAAATTGAATATCAGCCGAATTAATAACAATCAATTTTCATGATTTTATTGACATATAAAAAACCTGATAATGTGTTTGATAGACAAATTTTTGGAAGTTAATTACAACTTAGATTAGTTTACCTCTCCTCGACAATATACGAAGACGATGGCGTTGGTGATCGACGATGGTATTGAGCGATAATATTTATTGGACTTGGGGAGGGGAAACATGGAATACGACAATATTGATGATGATGAAGGATCAATGTTTTTGTAGGGTGAACCAACAAATTGCCCTAATTCAAAAATTCTTAAATGTTTTAAATATTTACCATAATTAAGGGTAACCAAAATTACTATTACACCCTTTTATGATTTATTATTGAATTAATTTTTTCTTAATTTTGATTGGTTGATAGAGGTATACAATATTTATCGAAAACATTTAAACCTAATTCTCTCTCTCTCTCTCTCTCTCTCTCTCTTTATATATATATATATATATATATATATATATATATATATATATATATATATATATATATATATTATTTTATTATTTTATTTTTTTAGTTTTTAATTTATTTTTTTAAATCAACGAAGATACTCCTTACTTTTCAAAATTAATATTTAGAAAAATGATTTTCACAACAAAATGATTTTTTAAAGAATATTTATATTTTTTTATATGAATATTTTAAAAAACATATATATATATATATATATATATATATATATATATATATATATATATTAAAAGACATTTTTAATGATCCTATATGTATGCAAAAAAGTAAGCATATACATATACATATAAATAAAGATGTATATTCATATACATATACATATGCATAAACATATACAAATGCATATGCATAAGACAATTAAATACATATAATTATGCTTATGTATATGCATTTACATATAAATATGTGTATGTATATCCATAAAATTAAGTATATGCATATGCATATGTACAATAATAAATATATACATATTAATAAGATGTGCATTAGAATAAATATATACATAATAATAAGTATATATATATATATATATATATATATATATATATATATATATATATATATATATATATATATATATATATATATATATATATATATATATATATAAAAGACAATTGCAAAAATAATAAATAAATAAATTTGAGGAAAAAAAATATGAATGTACTTATGTATTTTTTTTTTTGAAAACGTATATTTGCACAAAAAAATATGAATATACATTAAAAGTGTATATTTAAAAAAAATTAAATCTTGTTTTCGAAATATAATGTATATATTCGTTTATTAAAAAAAATTATTATTTTTATTATTTTTGATTTTTTAATTCTTTTTAAATTAGCAATGACACTCTTTATATTACGAAATTGATGTCTAAAAAATGAATTTCTCAAAAAAATTGAATTTTTAATGGATATTCATATCTTTTTATGTGTACGCAAATTTCTAAAAACACGGCATATTCATATGCATATTTTTAAAAAATATTTTTAACACTCCTATATACAAGAATATATATATATATATATATATATATATATATATATATATATATATATATATATATATATATATATATATATATATATATATATATATATATATATATGAAAATAGAAAAGATATACAAAGTAAGGTAGTGTTTGGTAATATGTAATTGGGAATGATTGAAATTGTTTCTTCCATTGGAATGGAATAGGATTGACCATTCTTGAAGAAATGTACTTCCAAAAGTTATTGTTCATTATTCATCCACGCGGTGTATTTTTTTCGCATCATTAAATGGAATGAAAAGTTACTATATATATATATACTATCTTCCGAATAAATTTTAATATGAGTTCATTTTTGTAGGATCTTTCCATTCGGATCCGATCTTAAGATCACATAAAATGATTTTAAATAAGCTGTTGATATTGACAACGTATTTCTAACGTATAATTAAAAGTTTATGTATTAAAGGCCAACGTATTTTTAACTACCACCGGAGATGCTTTAATTAATGTAGAGAACTACCACTACTTGTTGTGACAGTACTCTGGATCTGTATTATATATATATATATATATATATATATATATATATATATATATATATATATATATATATATATATATATATATATATATATATATATATATATATATATATATATATATATATAACCCACAATACCTCTCATCACTTCCACTCTACTCAAGATTTGGCTAGCTCTCTCTCCGGTAATATCTTTGTAAATCTCTATTTTTCGATCGTTGATTCTGCATGGGCAGCTTGATACACAACAACGGGATATGTCCAGAACCAGAACCAGGTACAGGAGGATGGGGCATCCAGATTGTTGAGTCTGAGATGAAAAACACTCAGAGTGGAGCCTACTTAACGTGGGAGGATATTGGGGTAACTGTTTCAAGCTCTAATTGGAGTGTAGGCAAAGAACAAATACTCACCGGTGTTACTGGTTATGCTAAACCAGGTGAGATTGTTGCCATTATGGGCCCTTCCGGCTGTGGCAAGTCCACTCTCCTTGATTCTTTGGCTGGTATGTAATCATATATAAATTAATTAATGGTTGTTTACAAATGCATGCTATTATAGATGTATTCCATGTAAGCAGATATTATGTCTTATTGCTAGAATCAGTGGTAACACAAATATACAATATTATATCTATATAAAGTACGTTTGTGCACATGCAGGGCGATTGGCTTCAAACATAAGACGCAGTACTGGACGAATTCTAATAAACGGTCGTAAACAAAGACTTACATATGGTACAATGGTATGGGAAAAATATTAATTCTCTAAGGAACTACTTTTCCTTTAATTTAGATGCAACATACATAATAAAGAAATAAACCAAATAACTAAATGTTACTGTTTTAAAATATTGCAGTCGTATATGGCGCAAGAACAAGTTTTAACATGGACTCTAACGGTTAAGGAAACAGTATACTACTCAGCTGAACTTCAGCTACCTAAGTCGATGCCAAAATCAGAAAAAAGACAGAGAGCTGATAGAATTATAAGGGAGATGGGACTCCAAGATTCTTTGAACACAAGAATTGGAGGCTGGGGAATCAAAGGACTTAGTGGAGGCCAAAGGCGGCGTCTAAGCATCTGTTTAGAACTCTTGACACACCCCAAAATTCTGTTGCTTGATGAGCCTACAAGTGGTCTTGACAGCGCATCATCATTCTATGTCATGAACCAGATTGTGAAGCTCACTCAAGAATACCAGATGACGGTTTTAACAGCGATTCATCAACCTAGTAGTCAAGTTTTCGGGCTTTTCAACAATCTTTGTCTTCTCTCTTTGGGGAAAGCAGTATACTTTGGTCCTACTTTTGCAGCAAACCAGGTTACCTTCATATTAATGATCATTTGAAACATTATTATAAATAGATATATCAGAAACAAATGAATAATATACTACTTTTGTTCTTTTTATCCAGTTTTTTGCAGTAAATGGTTTTCCTTGTCCAGATCTACAAAATCCTGCAGATCACTACCTCATGACTATAAATACTGATTTTAATGAGGTACGATAACTTCTCGGTGTTTTATGAATGTAATAAATTTCTCAGAATTTATTGTTATGCGCTGGGACGTATGTCGAACAACAAATTAACATCATTGTATAATTGTACATAATTATATTGTGGATTATTATTATTATTATTATTATTATTATTATTATTATTATTATTATTATTATTATTATTATTATTATTATTTTGGCAAAAATCGGTTTGTTCTCCGTTGATCTTTTTTTGGAAAGAAGACTGGACAGAAAGAGAAAACAACTTACATAAGGACAAAAGGGAAACAAACCCAAACTTCTCATTTACAATTATCAAAACTACCCTTGTCCAAGGCATTTCCTGCTTGCACCACAAATATGTTGATAAAAAAATTCGTCTTTTTTTTTTTTTTTTTTATTAGGATACCGTTGGTGGAAAGATTCTTGTTGAGAAAGTAATCGAAGAACTAGCAGCATCCTACAAGTCATCTAATATATATAAGAAAGTCCGTTCTGATATAGATACTCTATGTGGAGTGGTACATTACACTATGCTTTCTTTATTCTTTCATAAAACTAAAGTTTACATTTACTGAATTACGGATAATGAAAATTTTATTTTTTTGAAGGAAGGAGACATCATTGAGAAAAGAGGAAGTATGCAAGCCAATTTCATTACACAATGTTTGGTTCTAACAGAAAGATCGTTCATAAATATGTATCGCGATCTAGGATACTACTGGTTGCGACTTGGTATATATATTGGTTTGGGTTCCGCATTAGGAACACTCTTTTACCAAATTGGTTTGGGATTCGACTCAGTAAATGTAAGTCTTATGTTGTAAATCTCTGATACAGTAGATTGTTTGCATAATTAAAAAAAAAAAAAAAAAAAAAACCCGATCGCCAAACATGTTTTTTTAAAACGTGTTTCCATTCATCTACTATTAATTACCAATTAAGATTGATTATTTTGGTTCTTAATAACACAGGCTAGGATTTCAATGCTCATGTTTGTTTCTACATTCCTGACCCTTTTAGCCATTGGTGGGTTCCCGTCTTTCGTGGAGGAAATGAAGGTTCGTTGACATATCTTAGGTGTTTTTGGATAAGCAAAACGCATGTACAGCTTGAACTTATAATTCCTTTTTAATCGTTACTACATGTATCATGTACGTATATAGGTTTTTCAACTGGAAAGATTAAATGGGCACTACGGAGTTGGATCATTTGTTGTCAGCCATACCATCTCCTCAACGCCATACCTACTTGTGATCTCTTTAATACCAGGAGCTATAGCTTACTCCCTCGTAGGGCTACAACGAGAACCCAGGCTATTCATCTATTTCTCATTAGTTGTCTTTGTGTCAATGTTGTTGGTTGAAGGTCTTATGATGCTCGTAGCTGCTGTTGTTCCAAATTTGCTCATGGGCATCATTTCTGGCGCTGGGATCGTAGGATTGATGATACTGGGTGCAGGGTTCTTTCGTTTGCCAAACGATCTACCATATTTCTTCTGGAAATACCCTTTGTACTATATTTCACTCCACAGGTATGGATTACAAGGATTATACAAAAATGAGTTTAAAGGGCTAAAGTTTCCTCAGTACGTGGGAGGTCCTCCTACTATTGATGGTGAGATGATATTGAACAGTGCATTGCACATCGAGACGGGAGTTTCTAAGTGGATTGATCTTGGAATCTTGTTTGGTATGGCTGTCGCATACAGGATAATACTCTTTTGTGCTATTAAAGCGACAGAGAGAGTAAGGCCTATTATTAAAGCTTTCATATCGAAATCTACTTTTGGAAACTAGAAATGCTTCCAAAGAATCCCATTTGTCGTTTGTTTTATATTATATATTGTGAACCCGAAAGTCCAAGTGTATTCAGGACCTCGAATGTATGACTTTCAATTCTTCGTCTATCGTTTTTTGTTTCCCTATACTTGATCGATCATGTACCATACTTATATGAAAATGTTAATTTATTGGGGCAATTTTATAAGTTACGATCCTCATTCCTCACGAGTTTTGTTTTTCTCTCAACATCCGATAACGTGCCACACTATTCCACTTGGACTATGTGTAGTTTAATCATGGATTATTAAAAATTTAACAGTTTTTTTTGTTGTTTTATATAATTAAAAAAATTATAAAATAAGTTAACATATATTATTAGTTAACTTAGTAAATTAAATTAATGAACGTAAAACGAATTAAACTTTTAAATATATAATAATAAGAATATAAGAGATATATAAATTATATTTAAACGTTTAATTTGTTTTTAGTTCAATAATTTATGATAAAACTTGGTTTTTGAAAATATCAAGTTTAGTCCTTAAGTTCAAAAAACCTCACAGATGGTCCATGTGGTTTCAAAACTTTTAATGTTTAGTTCTTCCGCCTAACTATGTCAGCTTTCTACCGTTAAGTAAGGGGTATTTTCGCATTTCAATACGTAGGGACCATTTATGAAGGTTTTTTTTATTATTTTAAATAAAAAGATAACTAAAAAATAATTATTTTAATATATAATGGTCTCTCTCTCTCTCTCTCTATATATATATATATATATATATATATATATATATATATATATATATATATATATATATATATATATATGTGTGTGTGTGTGTGTGTGTATGTGTGTGTGGACATGCTTGTGTTATTTGCTTCCAGTCACCATAAATTCAAACATCACCTGTGCTTCCCTTACTCTTCATCTTCAATTATTTTCCCCTTCGTTAATGTATGTTTCACTTTCATTTTTCGAGTGTTTTTTCTTTCTTTCTTTCTAGCCTTGTTGGAATCATCGGTTTCTGGGGACCTTCAAAGGATTAACAACATTCCCTTGTTTTTCTATTTCTCTAATTTAAGGTATTGGAACTAAATTAAAGTGAAGTTGACAAACACCCTTGAAAACCTGTTACTACTTTCCCTTTTGACACATGAACAGGTTGAGTAAGATATGGTGCTAGTTTCTCATAATTTCTGCCATTGGAATCCATAGCAACTGCAATCCCAACTTGCTCGATAGCTTCCACTCATTCCCCCGCTGATCCATCGAGAATAGGAACTTGTAATTGCATATGAAACCTATCAATCTAACTGAAGATTTCTATAACGTCAAGATAAACACACACACACACAAATATCACACAATCGAAGATTTGGTTATGAGTTTACAAACCCATAAATTTGCAGAAAATCAAAGAGAAAGAAATATGTAGAAAATCTAACCTAAACGTATGCATCATGTATATCCTTTCAAGATCCAGTTTTATATTCATGATGTTTTCAAGAAAACCCCCATGTTTGCAGCAGACGCGTAATCTCACTAATACTCTCTCCTCCGATTAGGGCTTGAAACGATTTCGACTTCATAACTTTGGGTTGTGTTATATATCATTTGGGTTTTAACCTAACACAAACTATAGAGGAAGGAAAATGTAGAAGTGACATTTGAAAGGAGGAGCTAGAAGGTAAAGGAGGATATGAACGCTAATGAACCACAGTAGACACGAAGGAAACATGAATGAAATTAAACATTATCCTCCGATTGATGACCGATCGTGAAGAGGATGAAGCGATGAGGGGTATGGTTCGACAGTGGATGGCGATTCGTGAAGGGAAGGGAAGAAAGCTCACAGGCGGCTAAGCCCAGTATTCCTGGGTCGATTGATAGCGACGAGGGAGATCGTCGGTGGGTATAACGTGGTCGTCAACCATGGAACAAGTGAGGGAACGATATGGGTAAGGCAAAAGGGAACGAATGTAGAAGCGAAGAACAAGGATATCTGCTAATATTTTTATTGGTTTACGAGAGAGGGAGAGAGAGAGAGAGAGAGAGAGAGAGAGAGAGAGAGAGAGAGAGAGAAAGAGAAATAGAAAGACAGAGAGAGAGAGAGAGAGAGTAAGTGAGAAAGAGAAAGAGAGAGAGAGAGAGAGAGAGAGAGAGAGAGAGAGAGAGACCATTATATATTAAAATAAATATTTTTTAGTTTTCTTTTTATTTAAAATAATAAAAAAAAAACCTTCATAAATGGTCCCTAGGTATTGAAATGACGAAAATACCACTTACTTAACGGTAGAAAGCTGACCGAGTTAGGCGGAAGGACAAAACATTAAAGTTTTGAAACCACAGGGACCATCTGTGAGGTTTTTTGAAATTAGGGACTAAACTTGATATTTTCGAAAACCACAGAGACCATTTTTGAAGTTTTGTCATAATTTAATTTATTAAGTTAACTAATGATATATTTTAATCGTATGTTATAACTTTTTTAATTATATAAAACAATAAAAAAAAACTGTTAAATTTTAATAATAATATTTTATTATTATAATATAACACTACTAGAAAAAAGGATGTTTTCTTACGGAAAATAGCTACGGAATGGCTACAGATCACCTACATATAGGGACGTCCTAATTTAGTAACGAAATAGCTACCGAATAACTACGGATGCTAGTCTGTAGTTATTCCGTAGTTAATTAGCTACAGAATTGCTACAGAATAGTTACAGATACAATATCAAACCATTAAATGAGTAAGAGATCTCGAATGTGCACACGACTTTATGAACGATATTAATAACTATAAGTTGTTGAAAATAAAGATAATCATGTATAATAGATGTTTGAAAAAAGCGAAGAGAAAAAAACGATATTTAATGCCCAAAAAATCAAAAATAAGAAAAATATGTAGCTAATCCGTAGCTAATTAGCTACAGATATTCCTTATTTTCGATTTTCCGGATACTAAACATCATTTTTTCCGCTTTGTTTTTTTTTCACACCTCTATTATACATTATTATCTATATTTTCACAAACTTATAGCTATTAATATCATTCATAAAGTCGTGTACACCTTCATGATCAAGTATTCGTTTTACAGTTTAACAATGTAAGGACTATACTTTTCACCAACTTGTGATGAGTGTATTTTTGTATATGTATATTTACATACATGAATTAGTTGTGGTATATGTGTACGTGTATGTGTGTATGTATACGTGTTTGTGAGTATTTATATGTGAATATAGATCATAAGAATTATAATGTTAAACTGTGAAACGAATACTTGATCCCGAATGTGCATACGATTTTATGAATGATATTAATAGCTATAAGTTGGTGAAAATATAGATGATAATGTATAAAAGAAGCGTAAAAAAATAAAGTGAAAAAAATGACGTTTGGTCCCCGAAAAATTGAAAATAAAACACTTCCGTAGCTAATCCATAACTAATTAGCTACAAAAAAAAAAAAATTTGATTTTTCGGGCACCAAACTTCGTTTTTTTCGCTTCGTTTTTTTTTCACCTCATTTATACATTATCATCTGTATTTTCATCAACTTATAACTGTTAATTTTATTCATAAAATCATGTGCACCTTCGTGATCAATTTATAGCTAATAATAATAATAATAATAATAATAATAATAATAATAATAATAATAATAATAGAAATAATAATAGAAATAATAATAATAATAATAATAATAATAACAACAACAACAACAACAACAACGTAGTGTATAAAAGTAATAATCGACCAACTAGGAATGGATACGGTATGCCAGACGGATTGGTAAGATAGTGATCGTATTTGTAGGAATCCGAACTCGAATCCCACCCTTGGTTTTTTTTCGTAGCTAATGACTAGCAAATTCGTAGCTAATTCTTTTTTTAAATAAAATCCCCATCTTTTCTAGGATTAATATGTCGGTCGAATAAAACTTAGAAACCCAAAAAAAAAAAAAAAAAAAAAAAAAAATCCTCACTGAAGCTTTTCTCCTGACCCTCTTGTCCAATGTCGCCGTCGCTGCCCCTAACCGCCCGTCACCTGCCGACCCACGTTTTCTTCCCCATCGCCGCCCATTGCGGCCTCTCTCTTGGCCTCTTTGCTCGATTCTTCCCCAAAAAGGTAAAACTCTAGTTTTTTTTTTTTTTTGAAATTACTTCATGTATATAATTTAGATGCTTTATTCATTGATAATGATGATTTGTTTTGTTGAATGTGAGGTTTTAGATTATATTTTAGCTCGAATTTAAAGTTTTAGGTTCAATTTTGGTTGAATTTGATAAATGTTTGGTTAAACTCTTAGCTTTATTGAAAATGTGATACATATTAGGTTTGTTTGTGAGATTGTTAAATGCTATATAAATGATATATAAAAAAATGTTGTGAACTTCCTTTGTTAAAACTGTTAATTTTGTTGAAATGTGATGTTAATTTTTTTGTTGAAAATGTGATACATGGTTAGTTTGTGATAATGTTAAATGTGATATAGATAAAATTACAAAAATGGTCCCTATGGTTTGCCAAAAGTCACAAAATCAGTCTCTGCTAATTTTTTTTAACGAACATGGTCCCTGTGGTTTCCAAAACTTGCATCAATGGCCCTTTTTGCTGACGCCGATACTGTTCATCCTTTAGTGTAAGGGTATTTTGGTCTTTTCAAATAGCAGGGACTGAGTTTGTGACTATGGGTAAACCATAGGGACCATTTATGTATTTTTTTTCTATATGTTACGTTTATGAATTTGTGACTTTTCCACCCATTTACCTTTTAAAATATCACTTTGAACCCTTCACTTTGAACTTTGAAAAATGTTACTTTCACCCCTTTATTTTCTAAATTTTCGTTTTTAACCACGTATTATATATAATTTGTTTTTTATTAATAGCTTTTGTTCGCTAACCTAAAAAAACTATTTTTACGTATTTATTTTCATATATTTGTCGGTATAATTCAAGGTGATCAAAGTGTCGATTATAATTTAGAACTTTCTTTCGTTATT